GCTACTGTGTGACGCCGGTCTTACTTTCTTCGTTAACTTATTGGCGTCCGAGTTATCTTTTGTCAGCTTAGACAAATCGCCAAATAAGAATGCGAACGATGATGGGACTGTTGTGGCATTGCATAAAGCGGCATAGTCCCTGTGCAGATCTTTCTTCATCGACTGGCGTCTAGTGCTATTCATATCATGCAGGCAATTCATTGCCAAAGCAATGCCGTCAGTGAGAGTGGTCAAGAGCTCTTTGTTGTCTGATTGGTTTTGTTTCAGAACAATATCCGTCGCTTTGGTAATAGCGACAACGGCTGCCACAAGTGAATTTTGTGACTTTTGATGTTTCGAACTTGTGCTGGGAGCTGACTCCAAATGAGTGGATTTACTCTTGGCATTCTAAGCCCCTCGATGTTTGCAGGCTTAGGATATTGATCCACCTTTGCTTGGGTCTTTTCGTCTGGAATTTTGTCTCTGAGGAGACTATTCACAATGTTAGCCAGTTCCTCATCCACAGCGCTCCCAGTTTTCTCACTCAGATCGAGATCCTGAGCTATATCATGAAGAGCACTAGTGCTCTTTGATTTGTTGTTTCCTGCCTCGCAGGCTTTGGTCAATTCGCTGACCTTTGTATCGAGAGAAACAATTGATTCTCTGTCAGCATCTCCATGCTCCAGTTCGCCCTCTTCGTAGTCGAGGTCCTTGTCTTCGAGGTTAACGGGCTCGCTCAGCTGATCCATTCGTCGGTTCATTGCTTTCATTTCTTGGACTTCTGACTGGACCATGCTGGCCAAAGCGTTCATCGTTGGCGTCTCGCCGGACTCGTTGGGGACGTTGCGAGATGCTCCTTCAAGTTCTGTCATGTTTCGAGTTCTAACCTCGTTAGAGCTACGTATTTGTGATGTAAGACCAACTACGTTGGTTCTTAAAGGTTCAAGTGATCTAACTACGTTAGATTCAGCTTTTTCCAGTTGTTTTCTTCTTATTCTTTAGAAATCGACTTGCTTGATGCAACGCACGTGTGCAATGACTTGACGCATGCGCTGTGCTATCTCATGGGCTCTCCATGCCTCAGGTCATGTGATAGAATCAGTGATAGAGTATCTGAGAATAGTGGTCATTTATATTAATCATCCTTGAGTAGTGAGACGCCGCAGTCTGTACATCTTCCTGTGAACACCCAGTTCACTTTGGTACCTCTCATTCTTGCATCCATTTCCTACAGCTACAGTGGTGAATCTTTGGGCGTTCGTGGCCGACTTTATACAGCGTTACCCCTTCACGCTGTTGGTCTGTTTTAGACTGTTTAAGTCGCACCGTCCAGTAGTGCTCCCCGGTCAGAGACTGGTGAGAATTGATGTCGCTGAGTGTGAGATGCCAAGAGGAGTCGAAGGGTTTGGTGCCGTTTACAGTAAACTCACTTGCTCGTAAGAGTAAGAAATGACCACAGGTGATTGCTGACCAGAAGACGATATCGTTACTAGAGAGAAAATTCACAAAAGGATGGATCTTGCATTAGAGATCAAAGGTGATGGGCATTTTTCGCTTCGGTGAAGTGAAATGTTTCCGTTCGATACCACGCAGAGTTTGTTTTAGCCGTAGACCAGGAAGCAGTGGATTGCTGTAGCCATTAGCAACATGAAGAGAGCGAATACCTGCCAGGTAAACACTAATGGATTGAGGTTTTATGTGCGCTGCAAGATGCGTAACAAACAAGATGAGCGTGTCCTCTGATGCCAGCAAGGGGCTCAGGCCGTAAGGCTGCATGGCTGGCGTCAGTAAAAAGTTCCAAGGAAGAATTGGGTAGCCATGTGTCTTGATAAAAGAAGCTACAGCTGTTCCACGTAGTAAGAAAGGTTTGCCACCAGTGAATGTCCTTACGGAATGCGAAGGTGAGACGGATTCGATGTGAAGGGTGGCTAGCTTTGCTGTGTAGATCGATCATGCGACGAATGAAAGTTCTTCCAGGGCGACATACAGACGAAATGAAGTGAAGCTTTCCAATCAACGATTGTAGTTGACGCTTCGTACAGTGTTTACGTGATGACCACTTGACCAACATATGCAATACTTCGGCTAGTCTGGTTTGATCAATTCTTGCTTCCTGAGCGAGAGAATCTAATTCAATTCCGAGAAGAATCAAGTTTGTTGTCAGCAGGACTGTCTTTGCCGGCTTCGTAGTGAAGCTGAGATGCTCACATGTTCCCAACATAAGTTCGAGCGAGGTCCGGCAATGTGGATTCGGGGAAGGTGGTCCACAAGTCCAGAAGTCGTCAAGATAGTTCCAAATGGGGGAGGCTCCCCTAGATGACATGACAAACTTGAGGCCCTCCATGAATTTTAGAAAAAGGGCTGGCGAACTTCGAAGACCAAAGGGAAGGAAGGTGTCTATAAAATAACCGGGCACAACAGTACCATCGATCTCCACAGGCCAGGTAGATCCAAGAAGTTCCCAGTCCTGTGCGTTAATCAGAATGTGTTGAAATGCATCAGAGAGATCCAGTTTACTCATTAGAGCACCAGTTCCAAATTGCTTGAGTAGTGTGATTGCACGGTCGAGGGAATTGTAAGTGCATGTAAACAAATCCTTGGGGATACCATCATTAACTGAAAGGCCAGCGGGCCACGATAAATCATGTATTATACGCCACTTGACAGGCGCTGAGTGCTTCTTAGGAATCGCACCCAAAGGTGAACCAGTGAAATTCTCAAAGGGCGGGGTAAGAAACGGTCCAACTTTACGGTTAAGGTCAAGTTCACATTCGATCTCCCTGGCCACAGGCTCAGGGTTGAGGATAAATGATTGGTGTGTATTTGGTAATCACGGGAAACGGGTTGATAACCAATGCGTACTCCAAATTCAATGTCATGTAATAAATCATTTACGAAATCAGTGTCCGGGTGTGCCCGAATTGAATTTTTGGACAGGAAAACCTCGCTCACAAGGAGCACTTGATACTGGGATTACACGACTGATCAAAGCTAGTTGCACAAAATCAGGGGGAACATGTTTATACCCTTAGATGAGAGTGTTTGTGAACTGTTCAAAGATCATAGCTCTGTAACTGCGTACTAAATGCTTGAACTGAAGAAATTGGTTTTTACACCCATCAGAGTCAAGAGCGGTTTCGAAGTGATGACAGAGTTTGTTGAATTGTTGGATGCCATGGTTTCCTAACTCCCTTACGTCATCAGGCAGTCTTCTAGGGTTGAAGATGACGTCAAAACTCTCCAGAAGCTCAAAGTCATCTTCTGGAAACCTGTAGTGTAGGTTGTTGATAAGCTGGTTCAGGTATGTCCTTCGTACTGAGTTGAACCTGGTTCTGAGGTTGTTATTGTCAGGAATTTCCACTTCCCTGTGCCTGGAACATCACCCAGGTCTGCCAACACTCTGTTTACTGTGGGAGATCCATCAATCATCCCTTGAATTGTCTCAACAGTTGGAGTGACACTGTGTTTAATGACAGACAAATTGGCAATATCCTTCTGATAGATCCAATTATTATGGTTTCAAGCAGTTCGGTTTTTTGAAAATGAACCTAATACGGCTTATTTGAGATAATTTCGACATGCAAGACGATACCACAGCAGAAATATGATTAGCAAAAGATAGCATGGTATCAAAAATTAATCCAAGGTCTAACTGCTTGAGTCGGGTTAATGTCTTTTCCTATTAGCGGTAATTTAAAGTCCAGTAATTTCGAAGACATTCCTCAGCTGCTAAAAACCATTAGTTTCATCTTGTCTGGATTGAGCATTAAACAATCGTCGAAAAACCGATTGCGAACCCATTGTTAGTGAGAATTAACACTTACAGTGATCCAAGCAGAGTCGTTCACAGTAAATGACAAGAGGAGCTTGATGTCATTCACGTAGCAAAGAGCTGAACAATTTTGAAAAACATTTGGTAGATTGTCTAAATAAAATAAATAAACCTAACGATTAAAAAGCTAATCATAAATTTGTATCTGCAAATCTTGCTCTACGCAATTACTGTCTGTAAATAATCTTATCTAATGCTTGCATTTAAAAACTAATATAAAATACTTAAAAAAGCAAGATATTGATTATAAAATTGTTAATGATATAATATGTAATAAAATGCTGAAATCCCAAATCGATTTATGCTATATTTCAATAATTTTTAGAAAGCACCTCTAAACACTCTTAACTGAAACATTTGGAATTCCTAGTTACTGGTATGCTTCACTAAATAATGAAGTCTTGATGTCTTTCATAAATTTTAAGGTGTTAGTTTCATGTCTGATATTCTATGGTAATTTTTCCATAACGTGGGTGCAGCCACGGAAAAGGCTCTGTCTCCCGACATCTTTTTCAATTTGAAGGAAGGTTGAACCAAGAAAAACTCATTTGACCTCAAGTTCTATGGGAATTTTTTCTTTACTGAAATCAAATTCATGATATGGGTAGGTGCCAGTCCATGAATGGCCTTGAATATCACTAGCAATATCTTGAACCTCATCCTGAATCTCACTGGTAGCCAATGTAGTTCTTGTAATACTATCGTGATGTGACAATAATGGGAAGAGCTGCTAATAAGTCATAATTGTTCTTTGGTTGCCGTTATCCTTTCTACCCTCAAATATTTAAACAGAGATTTGAATTAGGGCCACTTAAGTGGATTTCCCAAAAACCAGGGTAACTCCAAACATGATACTGACTTTACAAGCGTTGCTGTTGACTCTTTTCGTCTAACTTTGTTTTGATCTGCCTGGCCGAGAGTTCCCTATCCATGAGGTAGTAAGTGTTCCTCCACATCACAGTAAGCTTAGTCATTCTGAGAATTGTGAGTGCACAATGTGGACAGTTTAATTGGGGCGGCAGCATAAAATTTTGCTGAGGTAAGGGTCATCTGGATTATTGCAAATGCCTGTATTTTTTGATACTTTAAAGCTAATATCCTGATAGGTAATTTGAACTTCAGCATTTTCAAATTCTCCTTGTGGATCTCTGAATATCCTCCATCTTCATTAGACGTCTCAAGCTGTGCTGCCAATCCCAATCTTTAATCTTCATTTTTTTGTTCTCTTATAGACTTATAGGCTCCTCTTCCTGCAGCCTAGAACTTCTCTCTTTCCTTTTTTGACTTCCAACTCCAACATGCGAGGGCAACTTTGCTCTGCTACCAGTTGTTACAGATGTTATCATTGGTAAATTTTATTGAATGAAACATACATACATACATACATACATACGTTTATTGCAACTCCTAAGCTGGGTTTCTCAGTTACAAAGCCTACGTTAAAATTGTAATATTATAGTAACATTGTATTGGCCTAAAAATATACATAAGTGAAAACTAAGGCTAGTACAATATAAATACAAAAGGCCAGTACACCTTGAAAACACTAGTGAAATAAAACAAAAATTAGGCAAGGTCTAATTTATTTAGGTCACCGAGAAAGCAAACTTTAATGTTAACCTAGCAGCTGCTTTATTTACAACAGTGTGATGATAATTTGAGATTATGCACAAGTGTCATAAATCAGTTCTAAACGGAAGGTTAATTTTCCTTGAAACTCACTAATATGAATTAAATACCACATGACTTATGATCAAACATTATCAGACCGTTTAGAAAAAAGCATTATTATACCATGAAAATATATGTTTTGCGATATCTAAATTCATGGGCAATGAGTAGTTAGTGAAATCCGTACAAAGGTATGCCAAAGCTCGGGAATTTCGTGAGGTGATGAATTCTTGGGTCTTGAACATTGGTCAGTGGTTAATCCAATACTGATTTAATAATAAGATCATTTTCATGACCCATGGAAATGACGTGTCACAAATGTGTCTACTGGTGTGTACAGCATCTAATTATTACCACATGTAAATGTTCATCAACTTCTCATCCTACGTGTCCTGTGTTTAACTCAGTAAGGAACAAGAAAGGTCAAAATAATTCCCTATCTTTTAGCCAATTACTATTAAGACTGAAGCTTTGAAACTGCTTTTATTGCAAGAAGTGTATGGCTGCAGATAGCCAGAATCAGAATGAATTAACATTTCAAAAATAAAAGTTGAATTTATCTAGAATATTTTATAATTGTAACAAAAATTTATATAGCTTCAAAACTATGCACATATTCAAAAGTGCTTTACATTACATCAAGTATTATAAACTAGCACTGAACACTTTCCAAAAAGGAAATGCTGAGAGATATTTCTTTAGAGTGGCTGGGCTGCTGTAGGCCCTGATTGGTAATGGCACTTAACCAAAAAAGGAAAAAAAAACATCCATAAAAAAAATTCATATTATGAAAACCACATTGTTTGTAATACTCTACTTCAGGTTACTTTTGTACGTCACTTTTGTTAGAAACAATGATGTCTCTGGTAATTAACATCAGGGAGGTTGGATGAACAATCTGCAGTATGTAGACACAGCAGTTTCATAGATGTGTCAATATGTATATTGAGGCTTCTCATCCCAGAATATTCGTTGTCAACTCATGCTACAGAGAATGGAGTCATACACTGGCCTGAACGGCCATATTTCTGGTAAACAGACTTATTCTTTACCTGTACCACTGTAATATTAATGTGTTCAGAACCACATGGCATAGTCCTCAGTTGCAACTGTTAAAGGTGGTGAAACATTAGAAAGAGGCACGACAGTTCTTTTTTCTGTCAGATTTTCTTTCCACTATAGACCAAATGTGAAGTCTAATTTTTCTTCTTAAAAACATTAGGAGCTGTCCATTGGAATCCCTTTGAGGTATAGGGTTGTTCACAAAGTTGCCCAATTATTCCAAACTTCTTCTTTCCTGATTCACAGCTGGCAAATAAACAATACTTTCTCTTCATTTTTGTTGTGGGTTGAACACATACAGGCATCCATGGGTGAGTTCTGCTTGGCTTCAGTGCTGTGTTGTGAAAACATAGCAGCTACAGTTTGAAGGCCTGCATGGAGAGCAGTTAAACCTCCATAGTGTGGTTCCAACTGACCTCCTTGAGGTCTCCATTATTAAATGGATTGATAAATGTATTTAGTATGATTATTAATGACAAAAAACAAGTCCAACAAAAGTCTAACATTTTAGCAAATTTGATTCTATGACTGCCTTCACAGAACAATTTAATTATACAAAATTTGTCTAGCAATGTAAAGTGGAACAAGTTCAGCAGCGAGCTTTAATTAAATGGGAGCTTGTTAAAATAGAGTAAGTATAACAAAATATATATGGAAATATGAAATGCAAAATGAGCCCTTAAAAAAATTAAAAGATATACATAAACTGTATATTACATTAAAGTGCAGATCAAATTACTTACAAATTAAAATTGTGTAAAAAAATTGAGAATAAAAACATTACAACAAAACGAATTGCATTAGCTGGAATCCACCATACAGCAACACCTATGGAAACCAAACAGGGCTAAAAAAGGTTATGTCATTGTTATTACATACAGCCTTTTGTGAAGAGGAAAAGTTACCTTGGTCTGGGATGGATCTTTGTAATGTTAAACAAAATGAACTTGTGGATG